CTTATGAATCGGTCTGGGCTGATCGAAGGTGTAAACTCATGAATCGGTCTGAGCTGATCGAAGATGTAAACTCATGAATCGGTTTAGGCCGATCGAAGGTGTAAACTTATGAATCGGTCTAGGCCGATCGAAGGTGTAAAATCATGAATCGGTCTGAGCCGATCAAATGTGTAAACTCATGAATCGGTCCAGGCTGATCAAAGATGTAAACTCATGAATCGGTCTGGACCGATCGAAGGTGTAAACTTATGAATTGGTTTGGGCCGATCGAAGTTGTAAACTCATGAATCGGTCTGAGCCAATCAAAAGTGTAAACTCATGAATCGGTCTGGGCCGATCGAAGGTGTATGCCAAGTGGAGCGGTCAAGTCGGCGTGACCAACTTGTAGTTGAAACCTTTGAGGGCTATGTGGCCCAGTCGGCATGACCGACTTTGTAGTTGAAAACATTTGATTGAAGCTGGAGCAGTGACATACATGTTTTAAGCAAAGAGTCGAATGGAGAGTCAATATGCATGATGTGCATGTGTTATGGACTGAATGAAGATGAGCTAAATGGAAAAATGGGCTGCATGTATTTAAGTAATGGGTCGAATAGAGAAAGATTTCACCAAATAGAGTGGTAGTTAAAAGGAGATAATGATACATACCTTTCCCCTTCAAGTACTGCCACCCATGCTTGCTGGATCGAGTGGAGAGAGTGGTGTTAATTTCTATGTCGGAGCTGAACCAGTTGAAGTTGAGTGGGCATGTGATTCACTTTTGGGCTTAACCGAATGGGCACATTGATATTGTATGTGCAGACCCAAATATCATTGAGTGGACTACTCGTGTTGTTTACTGGTGCTGAGTTGTAGTGGGGAGTGGAAAGTTTGCAAACAGTGGGAAGCGTGAGGGCTTTTGTGATAGGTGTGCTGGAGATTGTGATGTGAACGTGGTTTGAGTTGATATGTATTGGTTGGGAAGGGGCGATGGTTCGAGTTTGGAGTTTTGGAATACAGTGGGGTAAGGAGATTAGGCAAGAGTGAGGTGGCATCACTTAAGCAGGTTTTGTTTGGGGGGTTTCTCTTCGTGTTTAGTAGATGATTTTGGGTGTTTTGAGAGGATTACTGCTATGTTTTTAGGATTTAACTGTGTGATTGGAGAAGTTGTTAGGGCGATTTTATGAGAATAGGTGGACGGGTTTTGGGTTTCAAAGTGGTGGCAAATCTCCGTGAAGTTGAATTGGGATTAGATCAAGGTTGGTTGAGTTTTGAGTTACCTTCTAATGGGGCGGACGTCCTGGAGATGCTGGCGTATTGCAGCATCTTCTTGAATGAACAAATTGACTGGTTTTATGGCGGGTAATGCATTGCAAAGCTTTGATGATAGTGGTGGACCACCTGGTAGTTTGATGATTGAAGTGAAAAGGCGTGTGTAGAGAGGTTAGAGACAAAAGCTATTGCCTTATTTGAACAGAGGATTAGAGAAGAGAGATTGTTGAAGCAAAGTTACTGAATCTAGTGGTTTAGGAACACCACTTTAAACTCTGACACATTATTATTCTATTATTAATTTAGAACAATAATATGAGCTTCAAGGTCTTATACTACCCGCTGAATGGATATAATATAAAATAAATTATGATATGCCGAATAGATATAATATGACATGTGAATAGATAAAACAAACGAAGAGAAAAAAAAATTATTATCGGGATGAGATTTTCTTATTAACATTGTCAGTCAAAAGGAGTTCCGTGTTGCCTCCTATGTTGTAAGTCGTCGTTGGCAGATGATTGTCAGGACCCCACGGTGGGCGTCAAATTGTAGATGCAAAAAATCTACCATCATGAAAATAGGGTCTGATCCCGTGAGGTTGAAGCCACTGACAATTCGCTAGACCTACACACATGAAAGGACAAGTGTGAAGCTTTCGAAAAACACTGAGGTGATGTTTGTCGTAGGCACTCTGATACTCAAGTCAGCGAGGTTGAAAGAGATTATTTGATAAGAATTAAGGAGATAAAGAATTACCAAGAGTCTTGTCGGAGGCTAGGACTACGGCGGAGGCGTTGGGTTCTTGGGAGCAAGAACTTAGGAGCAAATAGATAGTTTTGAGTAGAGTAGATTGATTATCAGAGATTGCATGTCTAATGAGAGGGCAAGCTTCTGTTTTTATAGTGAATTCAAGGGGTTGGAATCCTAGTAGGACATTGAGTCCCTTTTTTTTGGGAGATAATCCCTATCGAGAAAGAAATATCATTTCTTGACCTTATCAGATTAAGTTTAATAGTTTGAGTAAGATTTGAAATCTTAGTAGAAGAAGAAATCGAATGAGATTCTGATTTCCTATTTATAGATTGTTGCAGGCTAATGGGCTGAAACCCAGTTTAACTTAACTTATAGGATAGCCCAACTCGTAGAGTGAATAGTTCACAAGGTGATTTTAAACGTAGGCCCAATCGGGATTGGGTTGAGACTTTGGGCTGTGACATGTTTATTTTGTTATTGGATCTTGTCAACCCAAGACGATTTTTGCCTCCGACAATCAATACTTTGGAAAATTTCATCTCATTATGATATAACGTGTAAATGATGAGATAATATAAAATTTCAGAGTATTTTTTGAAGATAGTATCGATGTAAAAAGGTTTCGGGTAGTGTCACATTATTATTGGTAATGAATTCATTCAGTCACTTGTTAATCTATATATATATATATATATATAAGGTGGTCTTACATCCTTACCTAATAATAATAATGTTTCATTATAAGAACAAGATAGAAAAAAGAAAATAAAAATGGTGGAAGATGATGAAGGCATGTACATGGGTATGTATCAAAGTAATGGTGTGAAGGCAATGTATAATATTAATCCTCCACAATAAGAATAAGTTCGAATTGAGAAAAAGAAGGGGGCCATGGGGGGCACGTGCTCCAACTATATGATATAAATCCACATCCCTTATTTTCTTTCTATTAATGGACGCCAGGTATGCCTTATCCACTTCCCTCTTCGTTATTTCTAAAAAACCTTTGAATTTGAGATGGTTTAGGAAATTTGGAACAGTAATCAACTCGGTGAGAGTCAGGTTCATGTAGGAGTCAGACACCCTGAGTATTTGTCGGTTCCAGTTCTACCTTAAAAATTTGCTCACCCCTAATAAGTATAATAAAAGGCAAATCAAACAGAAATATATATTGATAACAGGGATTATTTCTAGGAGAGGTTTGAATTTGAGACGGTTAATTTAAGTATTAAGATATGATCAAATGGGTGAATATGAAAGTAGTTGAATTAGTTGACTAAACTTGGTCAATTAATTTACTAATGTCTTTCTCCCCCAATATGAACCTGAGAGGATGTTTCATTTAACTTGGTTAAGACCTTGTCAAACAGCTTAATCAAATGGTTAATTATTGGATTAATTAATTGATTAATCAATTGTCTTCATCATTTTGAATTTGATTAGCTATATTCATATGCTAACATAAAAAATTTGGTCTCACAAATTAGAGTTATGCCTACATTCAAAATATTCACGGATTGACCGTCCTCATATTTAGGTTAAAAATACGATTTATCTTTCCATGTTATATATAATTAAATCATAATTGATTAAGCACACGTCATTTTGATACCAATATTAAAACTTAAGTAACTACCTCTAGGTTATCAAATGGTTCGATAGGGACTCTTGGGTGTATTATTCAAAAGATCCTGAGTTAGAGTCTCTTCTTGATTGTTATTAGAGGTAGTTACTGCAACTCTTACCCGTTCGATAGTTTCAAGGCCTCCGGAGATTAACTTAAAATGTGAACAAGATATTGAGAGAAGCCTTGATGATTTCACATGCTGCCTTCACATGTGACAAAGAATGCAAATAGGGGCAATGGCCACCTCTAGCCAGCTTGACTTTCAATCACAGGTTCCTTCATGGATTCATTCATTAATTTTATGCACAAGGACAAGATGCCAACTAACTTAGATTGCTTAATTAATTGGGATCCCAATCCCTAATTACTTGCTATTTTAATTAATTATTTGGCTTGTAAGATAACTAAAAGTCTAAAACTAACACTGAATTAATTATCCTAATATATGTAATTAATTAAGTTACATGCATGTGAGTAGGTTTATCTCTAGAAAATCGCGAATTAATTAAGATACATGCATCAGAGTAGGGTTATCTCAAGAAAATCGCAATTTTTTACGAGGTTTTTTTTTTATTTTTTTATGTAGACATTAGACGTCGGAATTTAGTCTCTCTATATGATCCAACACCGTAGTTTTGAAACATTTTCTAATGCTTAAAAAGTCTTTTATACCATCACAATCAGGTTGTGAATGTATACCCATATATTTATGTAATGTTTTCACATTGGTCGAATGTACATAAATCCTTCAAGTAATTTTTTCTCGAATTCTATTATATATTTTCATAACTACAATACATAAAAAGATCCCTAAATAATGGCACTTTCTTGATCATTACGAAAATTCAATATTTTCTTGGAAGCCAAACATGATTAAATTTCAAAATCCCAGCTGTTATTAATTGAATTTGACTCTAGTAACCCAAGACTAGACTTCTTCTCCCAATATACCGGAACCCTTTAGTTCCATCTGCACCCTTCATCACAACAAGACCGATCAAGATGCTGACATGGACGGCCAAGATTGAATTCTCCAAATGTACCAAAGTTGACTTTCCAATCACCTAGGGTTTTCCCTTTGCCCTTTCACATTCCCTCTCCCAAACACAAAACAAAAAGAGAATCCCTAAAAACAAGCAAACAGTAAATCAAAACGAACAGCTGTCAGTTACAAATTTAATAAAATCTTCAATTAAAACGGGTTTTAAACCTTCCTAATCCGAATTAATTACCTAATTAAAATTAAATTATCATTAAAAACCTTCCACTAGACTTGACCATGGTTACTTAATTAATCCTCCTCTCACAGTAAAACTGTAACCCTAGTCCAACTTCCAACTTCAATTCCCCTATAAATACTCCTCCCCAAAACACTTTAGCTTTTCCATGCTTCGTGCTTCGTTACCCTGCTTTTGCTTTTTCTCGCTTTATGCTTCTCGTTGCTGCGTTTCATGGTGAGTTTCATGATCAATCTCTTTATCACTTTCGTTTTTTCTTACTTTTTTTTTATAACAATGTGAAGAGTTTCATGTTTGAGAGCTTTAATGGAGTCTTCATGGTTTTTTTTTTTTTTTTTCGGCGTTTAAATTTCGTCTTATTATGTCTCTGGTTTCTGTATTTATAGAACTTGTTTTATATTTGTCAGATTTTCTCTATTAATTTTTTTTTTTTTGTTTTTTATATATATTTTTTTCTCTGTGCTTAGATCTGATTTTGTTTCAAGTTACATCTTTGACAATGTGTTTTGATCTAAATTTGTTGAAGGCTTCTTATGATTTAAGTATCTTTAATTTTATTTAACGAATTATTTTGCATGGTTTTGTTTTAGATGCCTAGCGTTAATCCCGATTCATCCGATAAGGATGCGGAGCCGTTTGTGGAAGTTGATCCCACCGGCCGATACGGGCGATACAATGAACTTCTCGGGTCAGGCGCAGTGAAGAAAGTATACCGGGCGTTTGATCAAGAAGAGGGCATTGAAGTTGCATGGAATCAAGTGAAATTGCGAAACTTTTGCGACAATCCGGCGATGATCGAGCGGCTTTACTCGGAAGTCCGGTTGCTCAGAACCCTAATGAACAAGAACATCATCTCCCTGCACAATGTGTGGAGAGATGCAGATCATAACACGTTGAATTTCATCACCGAAGTTTGTACTTCCGGCAACCTGAGAGACTACCGGAAAAAGCACCGGCATGTCTCCATGAAAGCCCTGAAAAAATGGTCTAAACAAATACTCAAGGGCTTGAATTACTTGCACACTCATGAGCCTTGTGTAATTCACAGAGATCTCAATTGCAGCAATGTTTTCGTAAACGGAAACATTGGTCAGGTATGTGTTTTCAGAAACTCTACTTTCACTAGCCCCGTCTGAACTGAACTTGGTTTGTTCCCACACAGGTTAAAATCGGTGATCTGGGTATGGCGGCGATAGTGGGGAAGAACCATTCGGCGCATTCGATTCTCGGTACACCGGAGTTCATGGCGCCAGAGCTTTACGACGAAGATTATACAGAAATGGTGGATATATATTCATTTGGGATGTGTGTTTTGGAGATGGTGACACTTGAAATTCCCTACAGTGAATGTGACAATATTGCAAAGATTTACAAGAAGGTTTCATCTGGGGTGAGGCCGGCGGCTCTGAGCAAGATCAAGGATCAAGAAGTGAAGGATTTCATTGAGAGGTGTCTTGCTCAACCTAGGGCGCGGCCGTCGGCGGCGGAGCTTCTTCATGACCCCTTCTTTGATGGTATTGATGATGACGAAAACGATATATGATAGTGTTTGTTCATGATTAGGTTTCTTTTGAACCAGCTCTGGATTCAATTTCTCTTTTTCTTTCTAGTTTTCTATGATTGAATTGAATTTTCTATAATTAGGATAAGGATTTGAAGTAGTGGGGATGGGAGACTATGAGAATTGCTTGTTGGAGATGATGATGTCATTTGTTTCTAATTGTACATATATGTTTTAAGATATATTATAAGGTTTTAGTTAGATGAAATTTGTGGGTTTTTTTTTTTTTTTTCTTTTTTAAATTTCTTGTGAGTGAAATATTGTATACGATTTTATATACTTGATTTTATCCTATATATGAATATCAAATTTTTTTATCTCTATCCTCTTAACTTCTTGTAGATTTTACAGATCAAAATGAATTCAAAATTTGTGAAAAATATAAGCATCTCGAAGTATACAATATAATCTCTTAATAGTATCAATCTAATCCATTATTCTCTCATAGAATGTATGCCTGTAACCCTAGATAACTTAATATAATCTCGTATTATCAATCTAATCAATTCTCTCATAGTATACAATATAATCTCTTGTAGAATATATATGCTTTAATGATTTGCCTTATGTGATGGTCATAAAAAGATCCTAACTAAATCAAATTTTAATGTTGAATTTTCTTGGATGATATATTTAAATTAGAGGATAGGTATGAGTTGTGATATTTAAAGTAGAGTCAAAGTAAAGGTCGAGAGAGAGAGAGAGATATGAATGTAGAATAAAAGTAAAGTCAAAGAAACGAATTGAATATCGAAAGGGCCGTTAAAACATTTTCTCCATGTTCATATTAATAGACGTGACAACTTTAGAGATTATTAATCAATTCATTTATTATGACTTTGGCCAAATAAAGTTTCATAAATTATGTGTAAAATTAATTAAATATTTTATAATGGAAGGTAAGGTAGGGTTTCAAAAAGAGGCCAGCAGTAGTATTCTTGTCTGGCTGTCACCTTCCATTTAATTTATTGGAAAATTAAAAGTTCTTGCCTCCCATTTCCTAAAGGATATATATATATATATATATATATATCATATAAGTTAGCATCAAACTTTATGAATGTTGCCACATTTATTTATTCAAAAATCTCCTTTTATTATGAAATTGTTGATCTTTGGGTTATCAAAGAGCCATATATGGATATTTATTAGGATTTATAATATTTAATTAAATTTCTTTCCAAGATGAGGGCTGAATAAAGTTTCACCCCCAATCTTTACCTTCATTTTCGAATTCAGACGTAAAAACTTAATCGTGAAAGGGCATTTTTGTCAATTCATAATGTTAGATTAGATTTTCTATCTCTATAATATTATATGTATGATGTGAATTGATAAGATTTCCTTTTCATGGTTAAATTTTAATATTTGAATTAAAAAATATATCAATAATATTGAATGTTTCTAGAACCAAGTGTGAAAGTGTCGTTTTACGATAAATTTGGATCAAAATGTTATTAAGCCTTGAGAAGATTGAATACTTATTGATATAAACCTTATCATTCATTAGCCAAGATATACAACACCACATTAACCATATAATTAGTGAAATTTACCACAAAATTTCGCACTTAATTTCTTTAGAAATTATATATATATATTAAGTTGAAAGGAATATGTAACACAGAGTCCAATTATCATTGTTGTTGATGCAGCGATTTGCACAAACAAAAAGTGAATCTACGCAAAAATTTGTACAAAACCTAAAGATTTGATGCTTGATCAATAGATGCATGATAAACACAAATTAAAACAAGTAATTGCACAAGACAAATGATTTTTAAAGTGGTTCTAATGCTCAATGTAAATCCTACATTCATTGTTCTTGTATTGCTTTTTTTTTTTTCGTTGTGCACAAATATGGCTTACTAAATGAATAATTTTGGATCCCTAATTTGAATAAAAAGTATGTTTATATATTGTTACAAAAACAATCTTGTAATTAAAGTTAACTTAAAAAAACTGATACGTGACGTGAATTCGTGCTTCAGTGATTTACTGCACAATAATTATTATTAAAATCACAATTAAGTATGTGATTATTCTATTATCGGGAGGGATTTGTTAAACATAAAGAAGTAGGGATAGAACTACATTCAAGAGAAAAATATATAATAATTCAAAACTTCCCATTAGTGTTTAATTAATCAAGAAGCCTTCAAATCTAATCATTATAGATTCTAAATTGAATTCTTAATTAGAAAAAAAAAAAAAAAATCCACAGTCTTAATGATTAAGGTGGCTTTGGGAAAATTAATTTAATCTGTGACACAAAATAGATTAAATTCTCGAGGTTGGTGACAGATAATTATCGACAACTTATTCCAATAAATATTAAAATAAATAAAATTATTTTATTCTTAACAGTTGTATATAATATATGTGCATGTGCCCTAGCTTCAAGGCACTTCAAATCTTATTATATAGTTTTAGAGTGTTCATATGTATAGATGTTAATTAATTAATTCTTTACAATTCCAATCAAATGTTGACAGTTTTATATAGTTTAAGTGGGTTGATTTATAAGTTTGATTTTGTATTTTTAAAATTTAAAAATATGTTAATTATTATTCTCTAAAACTAAAAGTAGTACCTAAGACCATCTCCAACCCATTGCACCAAATTGGTGCAAATTTTGGTGCAAAACACTATTCCATCTCTAACTTACAACATCAAATATTACACCAAAAAGAATATTCTTTAGAATATTCTTTTTTTCTTTTATGGATAATTTTCTCTATTTTAGCTTTTACGTTGATTTAATTTCCATTTAATCTATGATCATTATAGACAATAATTATTTTGTTTTTTGGGTTAAATTTTGAATTATATGCATGTATACTTTCTTCGTATGAAAGCTGTTTACATTAAAGCCAGAATGTGATATGTATTAATTGAAAATTTGAAATATAATTTCATAAGTTTATTGTTAAATTTTACAAAATTTTGACGATAAATATATAAGACAAGATAAACGTTAAGTAAATTATGAATATATAATAGTAAATCCCAATGAATAATAATATATATCGTCATTTAAATCACCGATATACTTATATTAGTCAATAATTAGTTAAAGAAATAAGAATCATAAGATGTTTTCACAACATTAAAATTGAGACATTAATTCTCTGTGATATAATATGAAACAAAAACACTCTTATAGTTTTGGAAATAATAAAAATCCTTTTATCATTAAGAGGGTGTTATAGAGATATATTACATTAACGGAAAGAAAGATAACTTTGAAGATTACTGAGAATGTTTAGAAAATATGTTTGATTGATTTGATTGATTCGAATAAAAGGGCGCTGGTGAGGCTTTTTTTTACCATGGATCACATATCCATGGTAAAAAAAAGGCCAGATCTGGCTGTTTCACAACCAAATCTATGGTCATTTCATGGCCAGGTCTTTGGTCATGAAACAGCCACCATTTCACGGCCAAAGACCTGGCCATTTCACGACCATAAGTCTGGTCATTTCACGGCCAGATCTGTGGTACTACCGATGTCACAGCTAAATCTGTGGCATTGTCAGCGACCGCTAGCGATGGTGGCTGGTTGTTGGCAGTGGCTTGTGGTGGGTAAGGGTCTTTTTGTTAAGTTTAAAACGTTTTTGATTGCTAGGGTGTTTTTGCTAAATCTGAAAAGTAGGGGGGTTAAAAAAAGTTATTTAAAAAATAATAATAAAAAATATTGTTATATTAATATTTAAAAAGGTAGGCAATTTAGTAATATATATAACATACCCACCCATTTATCCTCCCAACCAAATATATTGTTCACCAATTTATTTGAAGCAATGAAACACATTTTCTAAACATTCCCAGTAATCTTTAAGGTGATATTTTTTTTTTTTTGTTAATATAATATACCCCTATAATAAAACATTATATGATCAAACGCCCCGTAACATTATAAATTTTAACAACTCCTTAACAGTTCATTAACGGCAAAAAAAATCTCTATTGATTCGGAAACCTAAGAAATTTTTTTGTTGGTTGACATGATTCAGTTTGGACCTGTATTGTACTGTTAATTAACAATTGAGGTACTGGTAACAAATTTTTTGGTATTAAATTCAAACAAAGCAGAAGATTTATTGTATGTTTAATTAATAATTTATTAATTTCCATCGTCACTTAACTTGATTACATCTCTGTATATAATGAAGCTTCAACAATGTCTATTCCCTGCATAAACATTTCCTTCACTGATAAAATAATTACAACCAAACAAAAAACACAGATGTCAACTTTGGAACCACCATTTTTATATGATCTCACAAGCTCCAAAAACCCTACATTGATTTCCTCTAATTCCTTGTCGTATAACTCTTATTGCCATCCAAAAAAAAGGTTAATCCAAGAATTATCGTGTACGAGGAAAACTTCATGCTTGAACTCTCTTTTGTAATTTTTTTTTTAACCGATAGTAAAAAAGAAAAAGAGGATCTAAGTTTATATGGTCTCCCGCATTCAAATCCCCACAACCTTTAATAAAGATGGCCACTGAAGCTTGTACCTGATCGATAGTTTTACGGTTCGAGAAAAATAGTCAAGGTACGTACAAATTGGCCCAGACATCTGCAGTAATAAAAACAAAAAAAAATCTATTAATAACAAAATTTTGTAAACTCCAATTCACGTCTCGTACATATGAGTTAATTCTTGTTAACGACAGTTTTAGTTTCGAATAAAAAAAACAAAGGATGTCCCCTAGCAAGATTGGCAAATGATATTTGAAAGTATGGCAATACATTGCATTGAATATAACGAGCGACTGTATTTTTTATAATGCTAAAGAATATAACCGTACCAGAACTTTGTAATATGCGACAGAAATAATGTCCTCATCTGCTATACATATCAAAACACACCAAGATGTTCTAACATTATCCTGTCACATTTTCAATCAACATTTTTAAAACTTTTCAAAAACAACCCCCCCTGTGATGAACCAAAGATTGTAATACAAAGTAATAGAGACTAGCAATATGCATAGCATGAGAGGAGGTTCCAGGCTGCAGCTTCTGGAGGGACTAATACGCGTCGTCGCGGCTCTTCATCTATTGATTGCAGCGGCGGTTTCTGTAGGAGGTGAGTCGACAGAATCCGAATCTTTTTACGGTTTCCTTCGAGCTGTTGATCCTCCAAATGTGCTCAAAATTGACTGGAATGGGCTGCTGCCACATCCATGCTCACATATGTTTAAGGGCACTGTAAAGTGCAATGTGCAGGCTGGTGCCGTAACAGAAATAAGACTTGAAAGATTGAGCCTGAGTGGGAGAATTGATGGAGAGTCTCTTTGTAATCTTCAAAAACTTCAAGTTCTGAGCTTAGCAACCAATTTTGTTCATGGAAGTATTCCTGATTCGATCTCAAACTGCGCGGCGCTGACATATCTAAACCTTAGGAGCAATCTTTTGAGTGGGAGAGTTCCTTTTGCTCTAAGCAAGATGAAAAACCTGAGGAGCTTGGACATCTCTAACAATTACTTTTCTGGGGTGAGTCCTTATTTTCGGAAAGATGTCGAGAATTTATATGCACACGCCTCGGAAGCAAGTATTCCGCAGCCCGCAGTATCAATTACTAACCATCCTGTTGATCAAAGAGATGAGCCTTGGTATAGGAGCTGGACACAAATCTTACCACTAGTAATTGGAATTTCTTTCTGCATATTGTTCACATACTTTGTGGGGAAGAAATCTGCTAAATTAACTAGAGAAAGGGAAATTCTTAAGGCCCTTCAGGCTTCTCCTCCCCGGACACCTCCTGTGATGTTCACAGAGGAAGTGAAGCTAGAGGAAAGGTGTTCAGAGCTCGTGTTCTTCGTTGAGGAACATGAAAGGTTCAAATTGGAGGATCTGCTTGAAGCCACAGCTGACTTGAGAAGCCAGACCATTACAAGCAGCCTTTACAAGGTAATACTCAAGAACAGTGTGATTTATGCTGTCAAAAGATTTAAGAACTTGCAGGTTTCCTTTGAGGAGTTCGGTCGAACAATGAGGCAAATAGGAAACTTAAAGCATCCAAACATTCTGCCTCTTGTTGGTTTCAATTCCACCAATGAAGAAAAACTTCTAATCTACAAGTACCAAAGCAATGGCAGCCTACTAAATCTCATGGAGAGTAAGTTGAGAGTGTCAAATCAAACATTTCTTCAATTTGGCATGTCATCCAGACCCAGAATCAGAACAAGTTAGATCATTTAGCTTGAGTACACAATTGCAGCAGCATACATCTGCATACAACACATAAACACGCACACGCACACAATTACAAAACACAACACATCGAATACAAGCCATTTCTAGGCCTGCACACAATCACAGACATGGTAAATTCACAGGTGCTTGATCAAATTTTTGTTGAAAACAATGTTTAATGTGCAGATTACATTGAGGGTAAGAAGGATTTTCCATGGAGGTTGAGGCTGTCAATAGCGAGTGGCATTGCAAAGGGCTTGGACTACATATATCAAAGGTCTCATTACCAGGAAACCATCCCTCATGGGAACCTGAAGCTCTCAAATATTCTGTTAGATGAAAATGAGGATCCACTGATAAGTGAATATGGCCTTTCAAAATTTATAGACTTGAAGAGGAATTATTTGTTTCCATCAAATGGCTACATGGCCCCTGAGAAAACTCAATGCGAACAAGGTGATGTGTTCAGCTTTGGCATAATTCTTCTGGAGTTACTTACAGGAAAAACTGTGGAAAAAAGTGGAACAGACCTCCCCAAATGGGTCAGGGCCATGGTTAGGGAGGAATGGACTGGTGAAGTCTTCGACAAGGAGGTGAGCAAATCGGGGAAGCAGTATGCATTTCCTCTGCTGAATGTTGCCCTGAAATGTGTATCGCATTCTCCCGATAATCGGCCGACAATTGCAGAGGTTCTGGAGAGGATTTCAGTGGTTGTGAATGCGAATGAAGACCGTCATGAACATGAACATGAGCATGAACTTTCAAATTCATCTTATTCTTCATTGGATTCTACCCATCAGGATTTGCTTCACACTGTGATTCCTGAAACCGACACTCCAGGATCAAATTATTAGAGTTATGGTAACTTTTTTCTGCATGAAGCAGGAACCAATTTGCTTGCTAGAACAATAATAAAACACATCTCTTTTAGGCCAACACTTGCAGTGTCAGTGTGGCCTCAAGCCAATGTACAGATGAAGCAGAGTGTACTATGGATACAATAAAAATCTTATATCCATCATCTTTTTACTCTATATCTCAACTGATATGATTGTTAATATGAACACAGTTGTTATAATCAATAATAAGTTATGTTACTCTTATATAGTTGCATTTGTATTGGATAAGACTACACTTACCAATTCTGCATACCGAATGGACATCAAAACTAACGTGTAATACGACTTGCCACACCATACTCCACGTGAGTCGAGATGTCCATTCAGTATGTAGAATCTGTAAGTTTAATATTTCCCCTTCGTATTAAGTAAATGATGGAGAAATCTTTGTATAAACCAAATTAAGTATTTTTTTCACAGGAGATTGCAGAATTATATATTGGGCCAAGGATTTAATTCAACATTTTTTTTTCTGGGAAAATTACTGTTAGATAATAATGAGTTCTTGAAAAGGCCAAACAAACCTTTGTAATTAGATTTAGCTTAAAAAATAGATTATAGATATTCCCAAATTAGATGGGTTAAGATAAGGTACCCACCAAGAGATAGAATCAAAATCACCTTTGAAATTTATCACATACAGAAGAAAACCCTTTAAATAGAAGGCAACTAAATTATTGCTTGAGAAATCCTCATTTATCTGATCTTGACTGGTTAGCTTTAATGGCTAAATGGGACCTCTCTCTTTCACTCTCAGCCATCTAGGTGACTGGTGACTTAACATGTTATTAATCTTGGTGTGTCAACATCAAAACAATGAAGATATTGATTAATTAATTAATGGTGATTAAGCTATTTAAGATTTTTTTTAGGACCTAAGATTTGCCAAGTTGAACACAATGAACTACTTCTAGGATAGAAAAATTCTTGCTGTCTCATGATCAATCTGTCTAATCATCTCACAGAATTGATTGAGTGGTGCTTGCTGTTTTGACCATTGTTATTACTTATTTAAAAGACTTATTCCCTTCTTCCTTCTTTCTTTCTTTTTTTTTTTTTTTTTTTTGGTAAAAGTAATTAGACTTTTTCTTTTAAGATTTTGTCGAGATTGTTTCAAAAGAGTCAAGTCACGAATCTCTTTTATTAAGTAGACGTGTTTTGAGTGAGGATATTGCATAAAACTTTAGAGCAAATTTATGTAGAACGCATATGAGTTAATTCTTGTTAACGACAGTTTTAGTTTCGAATAAAAAAAACAAAGGATGTCCCCTAGCAAGATTGGCAAATGATATTTGAAAGTATGGCAATACATTGCATTGGACTTAACGGCGACCGTATTTTTTATAATGCTAAAGAATATAACCGTACCAGAACTTTGTAATATGCGATAGAAATAATGTCTTCATCTGCTATACATATCAAAACACACCAAGATGTTCTAACATTATCCTGTCACATTTTCAATCAACATTTTTAAAACTTTTCAAAAACAACCCCCCCTGTGATGAACCAAAGATTGTAATACAAAGTAATAGAGACTAGCAATATGCATAGCATGAGAGGAGGTTCCAGGCTGCAGCTTCTGGAGGGACTAATACGCGTCGTCGCGGCTCTTCATCTATTGATTGCAGCGGCGGTTTCTGTAGGAGGTGAGTCGACAGAATCCGAATCTTTTTACGGTTTCCTTCGAGCTGTTGATCCTCCAAATGTGCTCAAAATTGACTGGAATGGGCTGCTGCCACATCCATGCTCACATATGTTTAAGGGCACTGTAAAGTGCAATGTGCAGGCTGGTGCCGTAACAGAAATAAGACTTGAAAGATTGAGCCTGAGTGGGAGAATTGATGGAGAGTCTCTTTGTAATCTTCAAAAACTTCAAGTTCTGAGCTTAGCAACCAATTTTGTTCATGGAAGTATTCCTGATTCGATCTCAAACTGCGCGGCGCTGACATATCTAAACCTTAGGAGCAATCTTTTGAGTGGGAGAGTTCCTTTTGCTCTAAGCAAGATGAAAAACCTGAGGAGCTTGGACATCTCTAACAATTACTTTTCTGGGGTGAGTCCTTATTTTCGGAAAGATGTCGAGAATTTATATGCACACGCCTCGGAAGCAAGTATTCCGCAGCCCGCAGTATCAATTACTAACCATCCTGTTGATCAAAGAGATGAGCCTTGGTATAGGAGCTGGACACAAATCTTACCACTAGTAATTGGAATTTCTTTCTGCATATTGTTCACATACTTTGTGGGGAAGAAATCTGCTAAATTAACTAGAGAAAGGGAAATTCTTAAGGCCCTTCAGGCTTCTCCTCCCCGGACACCTCCTGTGATGTTCACAGAGGAAGTGAAGCTAGAGGAAAGGTGTTCAGAGCTCGTGTTCTTCGTTGAGGAACATGAAAGGTTCAAATTGGAGGATCTGCTTGAAGCCACAGCTGACTTGAGAAGCCAGACCATTACAAGCAGCCTTTACAAGGTAATACTCAAGAACAGTGTGATTTATGCTGTCAAAAGATTTAAGAACTTGCAGGTTTCCTTTGAGGAGTTCGGTCGAACAATGAGGCAAATAGGAAACTTAAAGCATCCAAACATTCTGCCTCTTGTTGGTTTCAATTCCACCAATGAAGAAAAACTTCTAATCTACAAGTACCAAAGCAATGGCAGCCTACTAAATCTCATGGAGAGTAAGTTGAGAGTGTCAAATCAAACATTTCTTCAACTTGGCATGTCATCCAGACCCAGAATCAGAACAAGTTAGATCATTTAGCTTGAGTACACAATTGCAGCAGCATACATCTGCATACAACACATAAACACGCACACGCACTCAATTACAAAACACAACACATCGAATACAAGCCATTTCTAGGCCTGCACACAATCACAGACATGGTAAATTCACAGGTGCTTGATCAAATTTTTGTTGAAAACGATGTTTAATGTGCAGATTACATTGAGGGTAAGAAGGATTTTCCATGGAGGTTGAGGCTGTCAATAGCGAGTGGCATTGCAAAGGGCTTGGACTACATGTATCAAAGGTCTCATTACCAGGAAACCATCCCTCATGGGAACCTGAAGCTCTCAAATATTTTGTTAGATGAAAATGAGGATCCACTGATAAGTGAATATGGCCTTTCAAAATTTATAGACTTGAAGAGGAATTATTTGTTTCCATCAAATGGCTACATGGCCCCTGAGAAAACTCAATGCGAACAAGGTGATGTGTTCAGCTTTGGCATAATTCTTCTGGAGTTACTTACAGGAAAAACTGTGGAAAAAAGTGGAACAGACCTCCCCAAATGGGTCAGGGCCATGGTTAGGGAGGAATGGACTGGTGAAGTCTTCGACAAGGAGGTGAGCAAATCGGGGAAGCAGTATGCATTTCCTCTGCTGAATGTTGCCCTGAAATGTGTATCGCATTCTCCCGATAATCGGCCGACAATTGCAGAGGTTCTGGAGAGGATTTCAGTGGTTGTGAATGCGAATGAAGACCGTCATGAACATGAACATGAGCATGAACTTTCAAATTCATCTTATTCTTCATTGGATTCTACCCATCAGGATTTGCTTCACACTGTGATTCCTGAAACCGACACTCCAGGATCAAATTATTAGAGTTATGGTAACTTTTTTCTGCATGAAGCAGGAACCAATTTGCTTGCTAGAACAATAATAAAACACATCTCTTTTAGGCCAACACTTGCAGTGTCAGTGTGGCCTCAAGCCAATGTACAGATGAAGCAGAGTGTACTATGGATACAATAAAAATCTTATATCCATCATCTTTTTACTCTATATCTCAACTGATATGATTGTTAATATGAACACAGTTGTTATAATCAATAATAAGTTATGTTACTCTTATATAGTTGCATTTGTATTGGATAAGACTACACTTACCAATTCTGCATACCGAATGGACATCAAAACTAACGTGTAATACGACTTGCCACACCATACTCCACGTGAGTCGAGATGTCCATTCAGTATGTAGAATCTGTAAGTTTAATATTTCCCCTTCGTATTAAGTAAATGATGGAGAAATCTTTGTATAAACCAAATTAAGTATTTTTTTCACAGGAGATTGCAGAATTATATATTGGGCCAAGGATTTAATTCAACATTTTTTTTTCTGGGAAAATTACTGTTAGATAATAATGAGTTCTTGAAAAGGCCAAACAAACCTTTGTAATTAGATTTAGCTTAAAAAATAGATTATAGATATTCCCAAATTAGATGGGTTAAGATAAGGTACCCACCAAGAGATAGAATCAAAATCACCTTTGAAATTTATCACATACAGAAGAAAACCCTTTAAATAGAAGGCAACTAAATTATTGCTTGAGAAATCCTCATTTATCTGATCTTGACTGGTTAGCTTTAATGGCTAAATGGGACCTCTCTCTTTCACTCTCAGCCATCTAGGTGACTGGTGACTTAACATGTTATTAATCTTGGTGTGTCAACATCAAAACAATGAAGATATTGATTAATTAATTAATGGTGATTAAGCTATTTAAGATTTTTTTTAGGACCTAAGATTTGCCAAGTTGAACACAATGAACTACTTCTAGGATAGAAAAATTCTTGCTGTCTCATGATCAATCTGTCTAATCATCTCACAGAATTGATTGAGTGGTGCTTGCTGTTTTGACCATTGTTATTACTTATTTAAAAGACTTATTCCCTTCTTCCTTCTTTCTTTCTTTTTTTTTTTTTTTTTTTTGGTAAAAGTAATTAGACTTTTTCTTTTAAGATTTTGTCGAGATTGTTTCAAAAGAGTCAAGTCACGAATCTCTTTTATTAAGTAGACGTGTTTTGAGTGAGGATATTGCATAAAACTTTAGAGCAAATTTATGTAGAACGGACCCAAAACATATAACATCTATTCGTTTGAATTCTAGTCTCTTTTGTTAAGTAGATGCGTTATGGGTGAGAATGTTGCGTGAAGCCCTAAAACAAATATGTGCAAGTTAGATCCAGAGTGGACATGTTATGGTTATTGACTTTTGGAGTTTCACACAATTGTTTTATAGTGCGAGATGTGATCGTGGATATCCTAAAATTTTCAACATAAAGATAAATAAAAGAGCTCGTTATGGGGTCATAATTTTTGCTTTTGTATTTTGTTAAACCAACAATTAATCATGTAAAAGTGTGAATCTAAAAACATTAAGTTTGACATTGCCGTTTTGGTCAAAGCTTCATGCAATTCGGATGGTTGATTCAAGGCTTATCTAACGGTTGACATTTTCCTGAAAAGTCAAGGTATAAAAGAGGATTGCTCTTCAATTAAAGCTACAATGAACAAATAAGTTTTTTCTCTTCTTCTTCGACCCTGTAAAATTCTGCTTTATTGGGTTCTTTAATTTACTTTAATTCTTGTAATCTTTGTGCAATCAATTGAGTTGTTTAGTGAAAGTGGTGTTTCCTTCACGGGTAGAGAAGTTTGGGGAGTCTTTCTCTTGGGTTTAAAGGTTACAGTAAAAGAGTTGAGTGATAAATTAGCAAAGTGAGTTGGGTAGTGTTTGAGAATTTGAAATTGCATTCTGTAAACGATATTGATCTTCTTAGTGCAGCGAGCCTTGGTGTTCCAGAGCTCAACGTGGACATATCTTACTCAAATCTCGAGCAAGTGAACCATGGTAAACTTTTGTGTTTGTTCGCTTGTTCTTGATTTATTTTGTGATTAATTGGTTGATTAGCATTTAGATTAGTCCCAAATCGCAACAAATCACCTACTCTTAATCAAATGCTTTAGAATGACCATTAACTTGTGTATAAGGTCTTTCAAGCTAATGCTTAATTATATGCTATTCTTTAAATAATTTTGAAGTGGTGCTTCAACAATAACTCAAGGCAACCCAAACACAAGTTGTTTCATTTTCACTTTAACCCAAATTAATTTGATATAATCTAAGTCAACCCCACAAATCAATTTTTGATCTTCTCATTAACTGCATATAATTTTTAATTAATCTATTTTGTAATATTGTACCAAGTATAATAAAAACTTTGTTGTATGTTGCTTTGTTTGGAACAAAGAAAGTTCAAAACAAAGCAAAATTTGACCTTTTTTATTTTTTTATCTTTATCTTTAAGCTTATACCAAACAAAACTCAAGTCATGGTAGTTGTAAATAGTTGTTCAACCTATCATATAATAAAATAAAATTTCATATTACACAAGTAGACATTTAAATCTCAACAAAAGTACCAACTTGATTTGGGTATACAATCATAATAATAATAAAAGAGGTCTACTTGGAAAATGTTCAAAAAGTGGTCATAGTACCAAGTTGGCCATATTTTTAGGGTTTGTAAGACTTTTTGAAAGCATTAAGCGTGGACAAAAAATAACGATCATCTCTAAAATCAAATTTACGATATGTTTATAGGGTTTGTAATACTTTTTAAAAGCAATGATCGCAGATAAAAGTAGAATACCGTTTCTAAGATCTATCACAATAAGCCTTGTTATTATTAGCATAACACTAGTTTTTGGTTTTGCTTGACAGGTTAGAAGTTATAAATTTAGTGTAAAATTATGAATGTTTAGATACTTGATTTTGGCTTCAATATCACATATGCATAAATACTTTATAATAAAACTAGAGGGATGAATCCAATCCATCTCCATTGTAGTGTCTTGAAAAAGTCATAAAATTTTCCCATTTGTGGTTCACTATTACATTAACCCTTTGGGCCCAAAAAGCCATAAATAATGCTAAATTTCTGTAAAAACTTTATATTAATTGATCAAAGCAAAAAAATTTCTCAAAAAAGATCCACATGATTTGGCTTTGCTATAACTATAACTCAAGCAAGCAAGGAATACAATGTCATATGCCCATGTGGATAAAATAATCAACCTAAAAAACAATATAATTAAAGCAAAAATAAGTATTTTTAAAAAACAAAAAAAAACAATCTTTTTTTTTTTAATAAATTTTTAACTCCTGCCAATGCCATCACTCTTTTTTAGGCTCCTCCAAATATTCTTACACCAGAGGATTTGGCAATCTCTCTCTATTTATATATAAATAAAAATAAAAATTCTCTGACTCTCTGTGTGTCTCTCTCTTTCTCCATCTCTCTCTTACCCATCTCTTGCTACAAATTCCATTTCTTTTGATTTAATTAAGAGGAGTGGAATAACCAAAGATAAAACAAATACAGAGAGAAACAGAGAGAAAGAGGGAGAGAGAGTTTTTTATTTATTTATTTATTTATTTAAAAACACATATAAATGAACATCTACTCTGTTTGCATTACTCTTATTCCTCTTTTCAGATCTTAGTTTCTCTCATTTTCTCATCTGGTTCCTTTCGAACATGGTGAATTCTCTTTCTATCTCTTGTTTTCTTATCTGATCTCTGTTTTATGCTATCTGGGTATTCATAAAGATCAATTTTTTAAGCTCAAGTTTTGATCTTTTAATTTTGATTGTCAGGTCTGCTTCTGATTGGTGCTTTAAGGATCTAATTATGATCCTTGATTGGATTTGACAATTTCCCACTTTTTTATTTCACTGGATTGCCAATCAGATTCTATCAGTTTCATCACTTAAGGTGTGTTTTTGTTTTGTTTCCTGTTTGATTGTTGTTCTTCCCACTTGGATTTGTTGGCTCAGCTTCTATAGATAGAAAGTTGATATTCTTTTACTGTTTTAAGCATCTAATTGTGTGGCATCAATCTAAACATGTATGATTTGTATTGGTTTTGGTTAATGGAATTTTCCATGTTCAATTGCTGCCGAGAATTTGATTGAATTCTCAAGTTTTTCAATTCCTTTGAGCTTTGAATCCATTTGGGTATTGTGTTTTATGGCTTTTATGTTGTTATGTTAAGATTGGAATTTTTTTTTGATTGATGAGGTGAATTGTGATTGATTGTAGCAGAAGAGATGGAATCAGATCTTGGTAAGCTCTTCATTGGTGGGATTTCTTGGGACACAGACGAAGAACGTCTCAAGGAATATTTTAGGAACTATGGAGAAGTGGTGGAGGCGGTGATCATGAGAGATCGAGCCACAGGTCGTGCTCGTGGCTTTGGTTTTGTGGTGTTTTCCGATCCTGCTGTTGCTGAGAGGGTCATCATGGATAAGCACATGATTGATGGACGCACGGTGAGTAGCTTTATGCAAATATGCTTTGTACATTGTGGATCAATTGAGTTTCTCCCACTTATATAATTTGAATTTAGTTGTTACTGCTTGAAAATGTAATCTTTTTGACATGTAGTTGATTTCTGTTATGTGAAATTAGAGATGTTCTTTGTGTCATTTTATTGTTATGAGTTCATGCCTCTTAAGTGAATCAAGATTAGTTTGTTTTAACAATATATGATCCTCATTGTTGGCTTGGAACTTGAAATGACTTGTGGTTTTTTGATTTTAGTTTTGGCTTCACAATTTTCAGGTTGAAGCAAAGAAGGCTGTTCCCAGGGATGATCAGAACATGGTGAGTAGAAACACTGTCAGTATTCATGGTTCTCCTGGCCCTGGACGCACAAAAAAGATTTTTGTTGGAGGTTTAGCTTCTACAGTTACTGAGAATGACTTCAAGAAGTACTTTGATCAGTTTGGTACAATTACTGATGTGGTCGTAATGTATGATCACAACACTCAAAGGCCAAGAGGTTTTGGCTTCATTACTTATGATTCTGAGGAAGCAGTGGATAGAGTTTTACACAAAACATTTCATGAACTGAATGGGAAAATGGTTGAGGTCAAGAGAGCAGTGCCAAAGGAGCTATCTCCAGGGCCCATTCGCAGCCCTATGATAGGATATAATAACTATGGTCTGAATAGAGCCACCAACCTCCTTAATAATTTTGCTCAGAGATATAATCTGAGCCCGGTTGGAGGTTTTGGAGTTAGGATGGATGGGAGGTTTAGCCCTCTTGCGACTGGTCGGACTGGATTTTCTCCATTTGGTGCTACTGGTTATGGAATAGGTGTGAATATGGAAGGAGGGTTGAGCCCAAGTTATGGCGGGACTTCCAACTTTGGTAGTAGTCTAGGTTATGGACGAATGTTGAGTCCTTATCCTGGTGGAACTGCAAGCAGGTATAGTACACCTATTGGCTATGGTGGGGGTGCTGGAAGAAATGATTCTGTTTTGAGCTCAACTTCCTGGAATGTCTGGGGAAATGGGGGCCCTAACAATGCCTCAAATCCTGCCAGCCCCGGTGCTTACATGGGTACTGGAAGTGGGAATTTCGGAGTTTCATTTGGAAATAGTGGAGCCAATTGGGGGACTGTTTCAACTCCTGGTGGAGGAAGTGCTTCTGGCTATGCTAGTGGGAATATGGGTTATGGGAGTGGTGATGGCATCTATGGGCTGGGAGGAGGAGGGCTTGGAAGAAACAGTAGCACAGGTGTGGTCCCAACTTCGTCATTTGCTGGGTCAACTGGTGGTTATGAGGGGTCTTATGGGGACTTGTACCGCAGTGGCTCAGCTTATGGTGACCCAACTTGGCGATCTGCCACTCCTGAACTAGATGGTTCTAGTGCATTCAGTTATGGGCTTGGCAGTATAACAGCTGATGTTGCCAAAAGTTCTGAGGGTTTCATTGGAAGTTACAATGTTACCAGTCGACAGTCAAATAGAGGTAAGAATTTCTTCCTTTTATTTTTCTATTATTTCGATTTTACTTCTTGAATTTGTCAAGTTTAAGAGTCATTTGAACACAAGCATTATGAACATGAAGTTTATAGTTGAACTTTCTCTTAACTCTGAAAGAAATACTAGTAGATAGGAGGAATGTTGTAGCAGCTTCTAGAAAGTTCATAATACTTGATGGCTCCAAGTTCTGTTTCATATCCTTGTTTTTATTTATCTACAAGTTTGAGCGACTTTGTATTTTATTCACAGATTTCAAGTGTCAAGAATGTACTTCAATTCCTATTAGACGTTTGTAATTTTGTTTAGGGAGCACTTGGAAATGAATCAGACTTTTGATATTGCATTCTGTGAATCTAATCCAAATAGTACGTTTTATCTCTGGAAGTACTTGAGATCCACATAAATTGGTGTTAATCCTCAAGGGGAGCTCAAGTTTTCTTTAAGAAACTTACTAGCCTTTCATACTGACTATTTTATCGGAAAAGTTGCTAAGTTGAATTGATATGTGCTCATGTCTTACGCAATGAGACTAATCCATTCTACTGAATGTGGATATCTATTCCTTCTCTACCTTCAAAACTGTGCATATAATACATTCAATAATGCATGCCAGATGTTGCTGTTTTTGTTGAATTAGATAATCATTTTTAGTGGCCATTGCAAATTTTGTTGCACAAACATGAACTCAATGATGCACATGTGATGTACAGAAAGGCAATGTTTTTCACACTTGATTCTGAAAGAGTTGGCTCTTGGTTTTGTGCATGCATTTTTTTCTGATATGTTGAGTTCTAAATGCTATCCTGTATTTAATTAATTTGTTTTTTTCTTTTGTTGGAACAATACTTGTTTCAGGAATTGCTACGTAGGAGATTTGTCTTTTGGATATCAAAAGGTACATTGTAGGTACAGAGAATGAGGTCATACGGATGAGGATTGTGAATTTCATACGTCTCCCTCATGTTACATTTCAGCTTATTATGAATTCGGTCTTATAGCTTTAACGGGGGTTCTTGATTTGAAGTATACACAACATTCAAAGAGAAAGCAGTTACAAGGGATTTTGTGTAAGGTTTGAGGTTTGATTTTTTTTTTTTTTTTCCTTTTGATATAGTGAAAAAACAAAAAACTTAGATTTCTTTATTGGCGTTTGAATGAGGTGTAAAATCAGATTGCGGGATATATACTCAGAATGATTGGACAATTAACGTGTTATGCATATCCAGCTAGATCTGCGCGATATGGCATTAAACAGTAGAGTATTAAGTTTCTGATTTTTATTTTTTTCTTTTCAAGTGCTGTAGTACCCGGCAAAGTTGCCGGTTCTTGTACGTATATGTTTCCTCTTTATCTGGGATCAGTTTTTTTCCCAGATTGTATGTGAGGTTCTGTTTGATTTACTAGTGTGAAACATCAGAGGGATTCCTATTTAAGATCCCCGCCAAATAAGGTACTAGATGTTTTGATTCATTTTTTTATTGAACATATTATCATACAAGTTTACATTACAATTGTTTATCAAATGAATGTTTGAATTAAGCTCATTTCTTCTTCTTCTTCTTTTACATCAATCTTATTGCATGCAAGTTTCAAACTAGCGGCGTTCTTAAGACGTTTTAATTTCATAAACTCTACTCGAAGAAGTTGTATTAAACGACGAGATTTGTCGGGCAATGGTTGTCTGGATAGGATGATATGATAAGTGGGGGGGTATGCAAAATGACAATGAACCAATTAATGGGGTTGGCTTGTATCTTTCAATGGGTTTATCTGCAAGTAGATTTTGAGTTTCTGATCTTTAAAGGCTTTGGCTGTTCTAGTATTCTGTGTGGCCACATTTGGGTTCTTATCCACACTTTCTTGGAATAGGATGTCTTACTGGATTTTCAGGTCATTTTCCTTTCACTTTGTATTTGCCAAACTTCCAAAATTTTAATACCTACTATATATGTGTGTGGCCCTGTTTTGTTCACGGACCATAATATTTCTCTTAATAAGATGTGTATAATAATGTTATGCATATAAAATTGGGATCCGACTTGATATTTTAATTAATGTGAATTCCGATAAGCCAAAATCACGTCAATTATGGGTTGATGTGATAAAAAGTTTACTTTCGCATCATTGACTCACCAACTTTATATGTGTAGTATTGTTCGTATAATTTATGTGGCTTTCTCTATCATTATTAATAATTGTTTCGATATTTGAATTTAAATAAGTTCATATTATTCTCTTAACCTCAGCCTCCAATTAAACTTAGGATAAACTTTAAGTATTAATCATCTATAATTCATACAAAATACTTCTATACAGCATTGTTGCAATACACGTCAATTATACTTGGCCTACTGCGATAAGATGTACAGGGGGGTTGGACCACCCCTTACCCTCAGGCCTCGAGTGGTCAGTTATCAAAAGAGTAAACGACAGTAACCCACCAAGGTTTGACAAATCTACAAGTTTCCACCGGTGGTTTCATAAATTGTAAATTCTCACCCAATTTTAAACTCTGTTAAGATAACTTTTGCTTTGACCGGGTTTGATTAGTCAAATACCATTTTTACCCTTATTGTAGTAGAGTAAATTGATAAATTTTTTTAACCCTTAAATTAATAGAATTAGCAAAATAACCATCTTCCTTTTAAATTTATTTTAATAACACCCTCTTCTTCAACCTTCCTCTTCTTCGCAACAGGTTCCGCAACAGGTTTGATTAGTCAAATGCCCTTTTTACCCTTATTGCAATAGAGTAAATTGATAAAATTTTTTAACCCTCAAATTAATAGAATTAGTAAAATAACCATCTTCCTTTTAAATTTATTTTAATAACACCACCCTCTTCTTCAACCTTCCTCTTCTCCGCAACAGTTAGGTCTCGACAGCCAAATCTAGCCGCCGTGATCCTCTCTATCTCTCTTTTCTTTTTCTCCCTTCCTCTTCTCCGCAATGGCCAGATCGGGCCACCGTTGGTATTTATGTTGGTGGTGGTGGTGGAGTTGGAGGTAGAGAGAAAGAGTTGGATTGTGAGAAAATTTTGAGATATGGAGGGTGATTTTGGAATTTTTACTAACTTAGGGAGTGAGGGAGATTAGGGTTTACTATTTTTTTGGATAAAAAAACTTAAATACCCTTTAAACTGTTAAGTTTATCTTTTGAAATTTAAAACTAAGTAAATTTACTATTTATGAAACCACGGGCGAGAACTTGTAGATTCGTCAAACCTTGGATGGATAAATGTCTTTTACTCGTTCTAAAATAACTTTTTGGTTTCAATATAAAAAAAGACTTTCTCCAACTCTAAGTACAATGAAAAAATATCTGTATTTAAATTTGATGGTCCCAATAACATAACACATTCCTGCAAGACATTATAAAGAACATTGAATGAAAATTTTCTTAATAAAATTTGTGAAAAGGATTCTGACAATTCAACTATGGGGTGTAGAATTTTTTGAAATATGATATTACCTTTTACTGGTCCCAATTGATCCAGTTAAGATAAGATCCTAGACTCAACGGTCCTGATTGCACCGAATTAACAAACGGACTTATGGGCCCATTTCACAATTATCTAGGCATGCCCCGCCATGTGGGAGTTGCTGCCGCAAGGTAAATATTTTCAATGCAAACATAAAGCAAACTCTTTTTTTCAAAATTTCTATGAAAGTAAATACAATTTATTAAATTGTTCGGGTGATCGGGTTTAACGATAGAGACTGTTAGATATATTATTTAAAGAGTTTCAACATTAATCAAGATATATATAAATAGGTCTAGACATTCTCGTTCACAAAAAAAAGAAAGTAAATATGATTTATTTTATTTTATTTGTGATTGGGTAGTGGTAAAATATTTATTTATTATTCTAAGGAAGATGTTGGGATCCCTTAAAAAGAGGGCAGTTTGTCCAACACTCAAATGGGACCTTTTTTATATTTTTTTTAACTTTATAGGATTCCTTTATTCTTTCCAATGGGAAAAGAAAGAACAAAAAATAAAAATAAAAAGGTTAAAAGATAAAAGAATTTAAAGCAGCCCAAAAGGTCAAAAAGTTAGTCACCTCACCCCTTCATTTTCCCTTTTCCCCCATCTAATGTCAATTTTAGTTCATCAAATCCATCCACCCAGATTCTCCACATGGCTTTATCCATCCAATCACACCGTTTACGGTGGCAAACGGGATTCTAGATCAGTTTATAAGTCTCAAATCCTTTGAACCTGATACACTTTCGAACTCAAAACAGACGATATTTATCTAGTTTGATCCAATAGTTATATTTAATTACGTGTTAAGATCGTGTACAACCACTACCAGAAGCACCATATGTTTGATTTGTGATGGACCATATGGCACAAATGTGAAACAAAATGTAAACTAAGAACATGTGTAAAGGGATCAATACCTTTGAAATAAAATAGTTGAAAAGAAAATTCTTAGGCAAGAAGTTGAGTATATGCCACAAGGAAGGCATCATTCCAGAAGAAGCTCAAACCTCAAAAAGGCCAAATTATGCAGCAAAAATCAAAACTTTCTGACTAAAAGTTCAGCAAATAGTGGACTTATAATTTGTTTGATTAAACAACAGTTGAATTGAAACACACCCATCTTTCAAAATTGGCCTAGAAATGGATTCATCATGAAACTATCTTCTTTTTTGGCTTTCATGATCTTTTGGCAAATCAAAAGTCTGTGACCATGGCGTCAAACCAGAACC